CTGCCAACTTGATGATGTCCTTTAAAAATGAGTGAAAACATTTGCTTTTCAAGCGAGTGTTTGTTTTGCTGGTTTTATTATTATTAAGTTAGGAGTTTTACTAATACAATTACTTTTTATTTTTTTATAAATTTTAAAAATAAAAAAATTTTATAGTGGATAAGTACCACCACTAAACCTTTGGGTTTCCAGTATAGTTTGAATGTAGTAAATGAGCAAATGTTTTCAATCTTTTATCCAGAATCTGCTTCAGGTTTTTATAATTCCAATTGTGGAATGCCAAGACAACAAATACAAATTGCTTAAAACTGTTAAATGCATTGATAGTACAGAATTGAATGATTTTATCCCATGACCGTATTTTAATGCTGTGGCTGATCATTGAGTGAATATGTAATTATTGATGCGGATGGTCATCACAGGCATATTGCTATATCACATAGCTTTCTTTGAAGTTTACACAGTTCCCCAATTTGCTTGCCTTGTAAATTTCTAGTGTTTCCAAAGACCTGATGTGGTATGTCTGGAAGGATTTCTTTATAATGCTGGCATTGACCAAGTCGGCCTCTACATCAGGGTTGGTGGCGTAAGTGGCCAGGGCTGTGGTGTATCTTTTTTTGGCGATGTCATATTTGTTTTCTTAATCCTTTTTTTGTATAGACCATTTGGTCAATCCAGTGTATACCACATTTCTCTGGAACCTATGGTCTCTGTTTGGGACACTATACACTCCTGGTGCCCTCAAACTATCAGGCATTCCTCAATAGGGAGTAAATTGTTTGTGTCCTCTTGTAAGCTATTTTTGTGCCCTTCTTATGTGCTATTTCTTTATATAGGGAATGCAGGTTTTTGTTATATTCTATCATTGTGTTTTGCAATGACGTTTAGATCATGTATCTCATTAGACCCTCCCTGGTCTGTGGAGGTATGTCACCCACTCTGGTCTATAGAAGTTCTGAGCTAAATTCCTAATTATGCTTCTATTGTACCCTGATTTGTCGTGATGTCTTCTAGGCATTCAAGTTCCTTGAGTATGTCCTCCCATCTAGAGTTGTGGAAACACTCGAAATTTACAAGGCAAGCAAATTGAGGAACTGTGTAAACTTCAAAGAAAGCTATGCAATATGCCTGTGATGACCATCCGCATCAATAATTACATATTCCCTCAAAGATCAGCCACAGCATTAAAATATGGTCATGGGATAAAATCATTCAATTCTGTACTATCAATGCATTTAACAGTTTTAAGCAATTAGTATTTGAAAATGTTTGAAAGTCTTGGCATTCCACAATTGGAATGATAAGAACCTGAAGCAGATTATGGATAAAAAATTGAAAACGTTTCCTCATTTACTACATTCAAACCCTACTGGAAACCCAAAGGTTTAGTGGTAACACTTATTAGTACCAGTACCAGTAATTTCTCTAGAAAGTTTTATAGTGGATGCCTAATCTTTCAGATATCAATTTATAATATTATCTTAAATCAAACTTTCTAAATAAAGTTAAATATACTGTAAAAGAACATCACATCAATTAAGGGCAGCATTGTCTGTTTTGCATTTTACCATCTCATTTCCTTCTAAAAGTTCAATGCATTTACACATGATGGATTTACTGGATCTTTCAGTTCTTGACATCATAAAAAGAATGAACATCTTAAAACGATTTAATTTTAATGTAATTGCACACAAAAAGTATCCAAAATTGCTCTAATAGTTTAAACAACTTTAAGTTATAAAGTGAACTAGGCAAATCTGACATATTATGGACACAATCATATTTAGAATATACTTTAATTATTTATAATCTATCTATTTTCTTTCATTTTAATTATATATTATGGCATTTAATATAAACAGAATTCCTATGAAATCTTTTTCTTTATATTAAGGTTAATTTCCTGGGATTTCAGAGTATGGAAGACCAGGAGCCAAATCTTAGCTTCTAGTAAATTAAACTTTGAGTTAATACTGACAGGAATATAAATTATTTTTTCCTAACTACACAAATGTCTCAAAACTAAAATAAACAGAAATTACAAGAGAAATAAAAATGAGGTTGGATTCCATATCTTAAAATTGTACTCATTAATTATAAAATCAAAATACAACAAATTTATTTCTATATACAGGTATACCTTGACTTACGTCGTTCCTGATTATACATCGTTTGTCAAAAAAGTATATGGAAAAATAAAAATCAAGTTTAAGTCATTTTATTCAACTTTATGTCTGTCAGCCACAAATATTTAAGTCATAATATCACTAGAAAAATGTTTAAAGCACATAAAATCATATTAAAATATATACATTTACAAGTATGTACTGTATTTACAGTATCTGCATTCGTAAATTTAGATTACTTTTTTCTGTATTATATTAAAAACTAAAATTTATTTGTTTGTAAGCTTAAAATAGATCCTTATTAACTATATATTATTAAAAATGCATTAATAAATAAAATACAGAACCAGGAATGGTAATTTATGGTTTAGCCTAGTGACAAGTGGATTCAGAGACAAGTAAATTCGACTTACGTCGCCTCTCCTGGAACCAATTACTGATGTAAGGCGAGATATACCTGTACCAAATTCAAAAAATATCTACAGAAATGCTACAACACAAACTTAAAAATATGAAATGCTTTATTTATTGAATGTTTTCAAAGCTACATTTTAGAAAAATTTTTAAATTTGAATTTAGTGCTTTAAAGATAGAAAGAAATCCTCTAAAAATAGCAAATACAAAATTTTACATTTTTAAGCTCATGTAAGCATTTCTCTAAAATGTTCTTTGAATTCATGAGGTTTTTACATGAAAATTATTTTAAAGTAAAAATAATGGAATAAAGATACAGTATATCAAAATATATTCACTCAATTTTATATTTGAAAGGAAATTATCATAAACAAAAAAGATGCACACTTTTAAATGAGATGCAATTGATGCACATTAAAAACAGAGCTTGCATATATTCTATTAAAATAAAAATATTTAATAAATTTGAAAAAGTATGTTAAATTAAAATATGATATATAGTTGATTGCTTAGCAATTCAAGCAATTCATAAGAATAAAAATGATGAACACAATTGTGGAAGAGATTAACAAAAATCAAATAATAGTTTAAAAAATGTTAAAATAAATATTTATTATCTAAATTTAGATATTAGAAAAAAAATTGATATTTATAAAAACTAGACACTAGAACTAGATTTTAAATTTACAAATAGAAAGATTATCGAAAGTTATAAAATGATATTTTTTGCACACTATGCCTTTATAACTAAGTTTAAGGAATAAAAAAGAATCCTGACTTTAAGTTATTAAGTTAATTTAATAGAGAATTTTCTCAATTTTTTCTGTGGCCATAAATTTTGTTATCAAATCATTTCTCAAGAATCTGTTCAGAAAATAATTACAAAATTGTATATAGTTTATGATACTTTTGAGTGTGTTGTCAAGGTGCTCCTTGTGTCACAATCAAAAAGCCATAATATGTTATATCAATAAAAGGATGTCAATGCAAGGTTGTAATAGTATTGTGTTCAGCATAAATCCTATCTGTATTAATTGTCTGTATTCAAAAAACATACAAGATCTATCAAAGGGTGGAGGTTATACAGAAAAGAGGTTAAAGTTGAAAGTACCAACAATTTCAATTTATTAACACCATATTATATGGAAAACTATATATTGTGCCTGCAACCTGTAAACAGCTTCAAATTAATGTATTTGACTTAGTGAGGTTTTATATACAAGGCATACAAAATTACTTTGAGAACAGAGATCTACAGGAATAAATAAAACAGCCATTTTCTATAAATTTTATTTAACCAGTTAAATATATTGAAAACATGTAAAAAGAATATAATAAAAAAATAATTTTAAAAAATATATTAAGTATTTACATCAATAAAACAATATTAGATAATCATATTAATATAATATATTCATTTTTTTTCACTGTAAAAAATTAACTTTTATGTAAAGAAAAAAAAATATATGAACTATGACTAGAGCCGGTTTTGGACTTTTAGACAAAATCTATAAAAGTATTTGATATATATTTATTTTTAAGTTAATAACGTTCGTAAGCAAGTCTTTATTTAAATTTCCTTTTGGTTCCATCAACATTTAAAACAATGGTGTAAGTAACGCTTTAAGATTAACATTACGTATGGTACAGTACATTGTGAAAGGCCCATTCACAATGAGTTAAACTTAATCATAAGACGGTTAACATAAATAAAGCTTGGAGTTTGGAAACTTTAAATGTTTTTATGCTTTTTACTTGATTTCATAAGAAACAATCGCAGTGGTCATGGAATTCCCGCTGATGAATTTTTCTCTGGTTCAACGGATAAATCCCCCATCGCTGAGTTTGGCAATGTTCAAAAATTTTACCAGTTTTTCTGGAATACTTAAATTTTCCATCATTACACTTGTTACTTTTTCTTTAACTACAGTATAGCCATCTCGTTGTATAGATCATCCATATTAATGTTATATTGTAAATTCAAGGCTTTGAATTTTTACATTTTTATCTATTCACAAAAATGTCTTTTTGATTTTATCGTCAAATCTCAGGTTATTTATCAAAGAAGAATGCTTTCTGAGTTGGCTACTTTTACTTTTTGAACTTCGACGGACGTCCGTTTTATTTCATTAAATTTTATACAGTTTATGCATTTTATTACTAATATAGTGATAAAGGTTTTGAGGGGGATTTGAGTTTTGTTGGACGTCCAAAGAGGGGGAGGGGGAGTAAAAATTTGAAGAAAAATGCGGACTTAATTTATGGGCAATTCCTTACTACTTTGCTAACAATCACAAGAACTCTCAATAAATAAATCAGTGATGATTGATGAGCCATTGATACCCTGCGTTACCAAGTGTAATTTTCACAAGTAATTTTAAACTTTTTATTTGATTACACATTACGTAAACATATTTGAGCGAACACCGAAAAACAAAAAAATATTTTACTACTACTTACTAGTTTTAATTCGTACTTGTCTCATAATGGCATAACTTATTTTTACATTATTTCTGTCATCAATAAAACCTCGCAAACCTAAAGGTATTCGATTATTATACCAGTTTCCGATCAATAATTCTGGAATCAAAACTTCAGTAGTCCAATTCCAAAATCGTCTATCCGTATTAACCTTTAAAGTAGCCAAAATTTAATATAGAAAAATATTAAAATAAAATACAATTGTTTAATATTTATACCTTATTAAAATCATTCCAGTGATCTCCAGGTTTGATAAAATTATTTATTATGTTTAACCTCATATAATAACCGTTTGGATCTCTTTGACCATAGCTTATAATTACGAGAATCCAAAGATACAGAGAATAAACGACCAGTTCTCTTATTATATTATTCAGTCGTACTTCTTTTTCACGTTTTATTCTAGCTTTTTCTAATGTTTTCTCATCCATGGGTCGATAAATGTTCCTTTTAGATGTTTTCTTAGCTAATAGAATGGAAATAACTTATTTAATATAAATGACAAAATATCAGCTTAAAATTAAATATTTAAAAATATATTTAAATTTTCACCCTCTCTCCTTTCATAAGCTATGTTTTCACTTTCTTATAGGCTAATCTGAAATCTTAACTGCACATACACCTATTTTTTTTACATTAAGACTACAGAAGTCATAATGACAGAAAATGTAACCTGAATATAATTTGAGATGCATTTTCTATAAACATTGTGTTGGTACACTTGAGGGTAAGTTAAATTCCAAAAAGTAGAGAATTTAATATAAATGATTAGGTCTTGATCTCCAAAACAGCTGTATATGTTTTAAAAATCTGGAGAAATACTACGTAAATATGTGAAAATCTTAATTTTATAGAATAATTTCGTTTAAAATAATTTCTTTGGCTTTTATAATGATAACAGTAATTGAAATTTCTCAATACAGACACAATTATGCAGATGATATTCTTATCATTTGGAAGAGAAGCTATGCCAGTTCTTTCATCACATCTATCTCAGAAACTCTTGAGACTTACATTCAACATGGACCGATAGTTTTTCAGAAGTCCATTTCTTTAATCTTGAAATCAATCAAAGACCATGATAGATATGACATAACTGTACAACTGTCTGTAAGAAGAGCACACCTCAACCAATATATACACACTGCATATATACAGTATATTCTGATTCTATTTATTGTACATTGATTCCTAAAAGACAACCATTACATCTCTCTAGTAGACAGAATTTTTGGTCTATGCTCTGATTGAAACCTTTTATCTATTTTTTTACAATTCTAAATTCTGCATACTCATAACTTTTAGTTTCTAGATCAGATGGATAGAGCTATTGGAAAATCAGAAAATTTCCAGAGGCCTAGTAACAGAGGTTCCCACAATCCTCTATGGAAATACAACTGAAAACTATACAACTTGGGCCTATCTCTCTCAGCCAACTTGCTAATTTCTCATCAATAACCAACCTCTCAGCCTCAGTATCTATCAACCACTTAACCTTAAAGTCATTGATTGTACTACCAATAATTGAGACTCATCTATCAGATAACAAAATTTCATTGGCCAAACTTAACAATAGAAGTAGCTGATTCACACAACTAGTTCACTCTTAGTTTAACACTTTTTTCATCTTGTACTACTGTGCTAGGTAGCCAAGCTGCCTGCATTTAAGATACCTCCACATTCCCACAGGTTCTGGGTTACATTTTTTAATTTGCAAACCTCAATCAATAAAAACATAGACTCCTTTAATTCCTTACTTGCTCCTCCAACTTAAGAGATTTTATTCTCAACTTCCTTATCAATTTTTGAATCATCAGCACATCCTTCCATATTTGCATATATATACTCTGTAGTTCCCTAGCTCTATCTTCTTCAGTGAATATAATTGCCTGATCTAAAGTACTGGTTGGTGTATGAGACCCTGACACTTTAATTGCAGAAGCAAGCCTTTACTGTAACAAGTCTTGACAATGTTATTAAGCAAAGCTTCTAAATTTTATTGTGTGCCATTGAGAGTGTGTTTTCTGAATACATGTGGAAATGATGGTTCCACATGTATTCAGTAAACACATTCTCCTCTTCTCTGGAAAATTTTTAGGACTTCTTTAAAAGGATTCAGATCAGAATGTACACTCCAAATGAAACATTTGACAGCTTAGATTTAAATTAAAAGTCATCTATTCTTTAATCCCATAGATCAAAATAAGTTGATAAAGACATTCCCTTTAACCTGGCATAAAAGATTGCAGTTTGACAGTCTCATTCTATTTGGCTGGAGTAGTTTCTAGTGTTTAAAAGAACTGTCTAACATTCTGTAACCAAATGAACCATCATTCCTTCAGAGTTTGTTGTCATACAAGGTGTTCGATAACCTTCATGCACAAAAAAGTACGAAGGACACCAAAGTAATGGAAAGAGAAAGAGATATGCACTGGAATAAAGTAAAAGTAATGCTCCTATAGAATCCTTCAAATCCTGTTGCAGATACCATTGTGAATGAGATTGTTGATTATACAAAGATTACCTTGAATAAAAAAACCATAATACTAAAATGATTTTTATTCATGTTTCATACCAGTATAATTTCAAACTTATTAATTCTATTGAACATTTTAGACCTGAAGCAGATGCTATTTAGATCAAAAAACCTTTGTCATAATATCTTAATATTTGCTGATTAATTTGAAGGTTTTGTTGGTACAACCAGCTTTTTGAAGATTCAGAATTAATGTATGTTTATTCTTTTTTACAGATGAAACATGGAGATGATTAAGGAGGAATGAATTCAAGTTATTTTGATGGTGGGGAAGTCAGTGTGAAGTTACCAAAAGTCCATTTAAGAGGCTATATCCAGACTTCAGATACAGCAATCCAGATATAGCCTTTTAAACTCTTCAGTGACATTATGCTAACTAAGGATCCTCATCATCAAAATAACATAAATTTATTCTTCCTTGCTCAGTGTCATGTTTCACATGTAAAATAGTAAACAAACATCAGTATAACTCCTACATACTTATGAGACACTAAAACTATATGAACTAAAAGCTATGAATAAGGCTATATGAACTAAAGCCTTCCCTTTGTTCAAAACTCCAGTTTTACAAAATGTCAAAACACATGTGCTTACAGTACTATCTTCTTAAAATGTTTTTGAGGAAGATTTCACACTATTGATTCTGGTTATAACTGATAATTATTTATTAGGTCTGTGTTACATTTGTTAACATGCTGTTTATTATATTTTTCTATGTTATTTAGTTTGTTTATTATCTTGCACATTATATTATTATTTATGCAACTATAGCTATCAGTTTATCTACTCACTACTTTTATGGTAACTGTATTCAGTCCAACACAACTTTAATAGCATCTCTAATAATGAGTTCAAGAGATTTGAAAGTGCTAAGATGTTTATGTATTTACCAAGGATCATGAAGGGGCTTGAGATTTTCCCCTGGGCCATAGTAGTTACCACCATTATATATTAATGTTATTTTTACTAACAAAAAATCTTTTATTGATAAAGAAACATTCTACATATTTCATTTGTTCAAAATAAACAAAATAATAGAAGGAAGACATCTAAGGGACAAAAGAGGCCTGCTGTACTCCCTGATCCCGTTCAAGTGTTTAATGGCCTTTTGTGTTTACCTAATATTTTTGTGTTTTAATATTTATTTTTTCCATTATTCTGAAATTATTTTATTTCTGGATTTTATGAATTAAAATAATTTATTTTAAAAAAGAATTTTAAAATTATTTTCATACAATTAGGTCTGACATGTAACCATTCTTCATCAGTACCAAGGTTATGCTCTTCTTCATCTTCGTCAATGTCATCTTCTTCATAATTCAATTTTTGACATATCATTGATAAAAGACATGCTGATAATAATATCTGAATAAAAAGTTCAAAAATCAGTACATATATAAAAACAGATAGAGTATAGAGAAATAATAATTTTTAGACTTACTTTCAATGGTTGTGTTAATAGCAAAGATGAAAAAAATGATATAATTAATGATGTAATCCATTTACATGTTTTTGTATTGCCAAATTGTATTCCATAAGCCCATAAAAAGAAAATTGATGTGGCAATTGAAGCAATTACAAAGAACCATCCAAAGATTATGCACCACCAAGGCAATGAAAATTTCTTTTTTCTTTTTACAATTTTAACTTTTTCAACTTTAGAATTTTCATTATATGGATCAAAATTATTTTCCTTACTTATTATAATATTATTGAGTTGATTAACATCTAAAATATAAAATTTTCAATTTATTTTTATTAAAAATTTTTGAAATAATAGCAAAAATATGTAGGGGAAGTTGGGGCAAAGTGAGATAAGGAAACNAGAGTTATTTGAAGTATTTTCCTGATAAGTAATGCCTTAAAAATTAAAAAAAAAAAACTTTTATGACATTATCTACTGAAAATGTATACCTTATACCTTTTTTAAAGCATATTCTTATCAAAATTTTAAGTAATTTTATACTAGAAAACGTCAAGACAAGATGTGTATATCCATATCACGATAAGTGGAAAACATTCAAAATATACGTTTTGAATAATTTATTATTGAAAAATTATAAAAATTTATCATGTAGATAAAGTCTTGATAGTCTTTAGATTATAATCGATTTAAAAATTTCCAAAATTTTGTGGAAATTTTTGATTTAATTAGATAATTATATAGCTGTAGATAGGCTCAAATATTATGAAAAAATATAAATTCCTCATCTTCAACCGATGATTTTTTAAGATAATCTTTAAGATATTTTAACTGAAATTAAAATATTCTTTATGTTTTATTTATATGTTTTTTTATTTTGTACACAAATTTATATAAGAAGATAAATAAGGTAATAAAATGCATGATTTATGGCAGTAGATAATGATGTTAAAAATATATACAATTAATTACAGGCTATGAAATCTATGATATTAATTGTAATTAAAATAAAAATTTTTTAAGAAAAATTTATTAAATAATTTTGGGTAAAATTTACATTTAAATTTGTTAAAAAAAAGTAATAAAATGAAAAATTAGTACAAAAAAATAAGGTGTTTTTTTAAATGTTTTTAAATTCTAAATAAACTGTTAAACAATAAAAAATTTTAATCTCTAAAAAATTCCATTTATTTGCTTTCTTAGAAGGAACTTGAGAACGTTTTTAATTTTGTTCTGCTTTGAACTTTAGGATTTTTACAAGTTTTTATTTTTAGTTTCGGACGTGGAGTTTATAGACCTAGATAGAGGAGGTCAAAGGTTAAACAGATAAGAAACAGAGGCAATGGCTAAGAGCTAGCATCCCTCACCTTGAATAAACAGTCGTTGGCACAGACTATAAACAGTCCATTTATGCCTGGACACACATTATCTATAGAAAGCGTGACACTAACCGTAATTGGCGCTAATGTTATACATTGAAGCAAGTAATGACTTTGGTTGTTGAACGAGCAAAAGATGTCCAAATAGTAGTTAGTTTATGAGCCACTAACTCACGATTTCAGTTTAACTTCGTTGAAAACATTTTATTTTTTTTTCAACCCTCGACTTAACAGCGATGTAATATTTATGCTTTTCAATAGAACAGACGAAGTTGCTGTCTGGACGAACCAAACGCTTAGACACACGAACGTGTAGAAAAACGTAGGATTTTTAAGGTCATTTTTCGCGTTTTTAACTCACAAAATAAAAGAGATTTTATAGCGAATCAAACGTTTAAACAAACGAACGTGCGGAAAAAACAGGACTTTTAGGACATTTTTAGTGTTTTTAACAAACGAAAAAATGTTTTCGCGGTGTGTTTTTATTAAAAAATCTTCACCAAAAGTAGAACGTAGTCGAAGATAAACGTGCCGAAACAATAAACAATTCAGCATACCCTTATTGTGTTAGGGAAGCGTTTAGGGTCACCCACAGACTATTTCCCTAATGAACTTCAAATGGGCAATCCCTACTAGGATTCTCTACTTCATCAAGACGACATTTACAGCACATTTTGTGTATTACTTGACGCGGTCAACTGTCAAGTAAAATAATTTATTACTATCAGACAATTCACGACATCCATTAACCAAAAACGTATTGTCAATGTCCAGACTGACCGTCTGGTTCTGTTACCTAGGATAATACCCGGGGGGTGTAAAGCGAGGGAAAGAAAAAAAGGGCCCATTCCAGACAAGAGAATTAGACAGAAACTAGTTCCACAGTTCGCAAACTTGGATCGACAAGTGACACAGATACCTCATAAATAATGTGGACGACTTGCTGTGAAAATTGGTAGGGAATGAAGGTAAGTCTAACGCCGATACCGCCGACCGTTTTGTGTGTAGGGAGGGTGATGATGGGGTAGTCTAGAATTGGTGCATCGCACGCGGTCTCTGTAGTCGTGTTAACAGCGCGAGAGAGAAATGATGCTAAAGTGTCTCGACAACTGCCAATTGACCGCGTGTCTCCCCAGGCCATATGTTGTCCTAATGCATCTCGTATAATGCCAATAACTAAATTTGCTTCCAGCTTCTCCAGGCGTAATATATAAAATTTTATATATAACGCTTACAAATCTTATACCTTAACGATATTAAAATACAAAAATTTAAATAAAAAAATGTCTTTAAAATATGAAAATATTCCCTAAAAATATAAGAATTTAAATAAAAATCCTCAAAACCCTAAAGAAAGTTAAGACGAAAAAATATAAAAATATATTACTTTAATTTGAGATTATAAACCAATTTTTTTTTGCAGTTTTAAATGTTTAAAACATTAAAAAAAACACGTTATTTAATTTATTTACTCAAAATGTAAACAGGAAAAATTATATAGGACAATATAAAAGCCATAAAATTATATAGGTGTAATATAAATTACATTAGATTTATGAGTTTATAATTTTACAAAAATAATAAATAAATAAATAAATGGTATATGTCACTTTTTAAATGTTNCTTTGCTAACAATCACAAGAACTCTCAATAAATAAATCAGTGATGATTGATGAGCCATTGATACCCTGCGTTACCAAGTGTAATTTTCACAAGTAATTTTAAACTTTTTATTTGATTACACATTACGTAAACATATTTGAGCGAACACCGAAAAACAAAAAAATATTTTACTACTACTTACTAGTTTTAATTCGTACTTGTCTCATAATGGCATAACTTATTTTTACATTATTTCTGTCATCAATAAAACCTCGCAAACCTAAAGGTATTCGATTATTATACCAGTTTCCGATCAATAATTCTGGAATCAAAACTTCAGTAGTCCAATTCCAAAATCGTCTATCCGTATTAACCTTTAAAGTAGCCAAAATTTAATATAGAAAAATATTAAAATAAAATACAATTGTTTAATATTTATACCTTATTAAAATCATTCCAGTGATCTCCAGGTTTGATAAAATTATTTATTATGTTTAACCTCATATAATAGCCGTTTGGATCTCTTTGACCATAGCTTATAATTACGAGAATCCAAAGATACAGAGAATAAACGACCAGTTCTCTTATTATATTATTCAGTCGTACTTCTTTTTCACGTTTTATTCTAGCTTTTTCTAATGTTTTCTCATCCATGGGTCGATAAATGTTCCTTTTAGATGTTTTCTTAGCTAATAGAATGGAAATAACTTATTTAATATAAATGACAAAATATCAGCTTAAAATTAAATATTTAAAAATATATTTAAATTTTCACCCTCTCTCCTTTCATAAGCTATGTTTTCACTTTCTTATAGGCTAATCTGAAATCTTAACTGCACATACACCTATTTTTTTTACATTAAGACTACAGAAGTCATAATGACAGAAAATGTAACCTGAATATAATTTGAGATGCATTTTCTATAAACATTGTGTTGGTACACTTGAGGGTAAGTTAAATTCCAAAAAGTAGAGAATTTAATATAAATGATTAGGTCTTGATCTCCAAAACAGCTGTATATGTTTTAAAAATCTGGAGAAATACTACGTAAATATGTGAAAATCTTAATTTTATAGAATAATTTCGTTTAAAATAATTTCTTTGGCTTTTATAATGATAACAGTAATTGAAATTTCTCAATACAGACACAATTATGCAGATGATATTCTTATCATTTGGAAGAGAAGCTATGCCAGTTCTTTCATCACATCTATCTCAGAAACTCTTGAGACTTACATTCAACATGGACCGATAGTTTTTCAGAAGTCCATTTCTTTAATCTTGAAATCAATCAAAGACCATGATAGATATGACATAACTGTACAACTGTCTGTAAGAAGAGCACACCTCAACCAATATATACACACTGCATATATACAGTATATTCTGATTCTATTTATTGTACATTGATTCCTAAAAGACAACCATTACATCTCTCTAGTAGACAGAATTTTTGGTCTATGCTCTGATTGAAACCTTTTATCTATTTTTTTACAATTCTAAATTCTGCATACTCATAACTTTTAGTTTCTAGATCAGATGGATAGAGCTATTGGAAAATCAGAAAATTTCCAGAGGCCTAGTAACAGAGGTTCCCACAATCCTCTATGGAAATACAACTGAAAACTATACAACTTGGGCCTATCTCTCTCAGCCAACTTGCTAATTTCTCATCAATAACCAACCTCTCAGCCTCAGTATCTATCAACCACTTAACCTTAAAGTCATTGATTGTACTACCAATAATTGAGACTCATCTATCAGATAACAAAATTTCATTGGCCAAACTTAACAATAGAAGTAGCTGATTCACACAACTAGTTCACTCTTAGTTTAACACTTTTTTCATCTTGTACTACTGTGCTAGGTAGCCAAGCTGCCTGCATTTAAGATACCTCCACATTCCCACAGGTTCTGGGTTACATTTTTTAATTTGCAAACCTCAATCAATAAAAACATAGACTCCTTTAATTCCTTACTTGCTCCTCCAACTTAAGAGATTTTATTCTCAACTTCCTTATCAATTTTTGAATCATCAGCACATCCTTCCATATTTGCATATATATACTCTGTAGTTCCCTAGCTCTATCTTCTTCAGTGAATATAATTGCCTGATCTAAAGTACTGGTTGGTGTATGAGACCCTGACACTTTAATTGCAGAAGCAAGCCTTTACTGTAACAAGTCTTGACAATGTTATTAAGCAAAGCTTCTAAATTTTATTGTGTGCCATTGAGAGTGTGTTTTCTGAATACATGTGGAAATGATGGTTCCACATGTATTCAGTAAACACATTCTCCTCTTCTCTGGAAAATTTTTAGGACTTCTTTAAAAGGATTCAGATCAGAATGTACACTCCAAATGAAACATTTGACAGCTTAGATTTAAATTAAAAGTCATCTATTCTTTAATCCCATAGATCAAAATAAGTTGATAAAGACATTCCCTTTAACCTGGCATAAAAGATTGCAGTTTGACAGTCTCATTCTATTTGGCTGGAGTAGTTTCTAGTGTTTAAAAGAACTGTCTAACATTCTGTAACCAAATGAACCATCATTCCTTCAGAGTTTGTTGTCATACAAGGTGTTCGATAACCTTCATGCACAAAAAAGTACGAAGGACACCAAAGTAATGGAAAGAGAAAGAGATATGCACTGGAATAAAGTAAAAGTAATGCTCCTATAGAATCCTTCAAATCCTGTTGCAGATACCATTGTGAATGAGATTGTTGATTATACAAAGATTACCTTGAATAAAAAAACCATAATACTAAAATGATTTTTATTCATGTTTCATACCAGTATAATTTCAAACTTATTAATTCTATTGAACATTTTAGACCTGAAGCAGATGCTATTTAGATCAAAAAACCTTTGTCATAATATCTTAATATTTGCTGATTAATTTGAAGGTTTTGTTGGTACAACCAGCTTTTTGAAGATTCAGAATTAATGTATGTTTATTCTTTTTTACAGATGAAACATAGAGATGATTAAGGAGGAATGAATTCAAGTTATTTTGATGGTGGGGAAGTCAGTGTGAAGTTACCAAAAGTCCATTTAAGAGGCTATATCCAGACTTCAGATACAGCAATCCAGATATAGCCTTTTAAACTCTTCAGTGACATTATGCTAACTAAGGATCCTCATCATCAAAATAACATAAATTTATTCTTCCTTGCTCAGTGTCATGTTTCACATGTAAAATAGTAAACAAACATCAGTATAACTCCTACATACTTATGAGACACTAAAACTATATGAACTAAAAGCTATGAATAAGGCTATATGAACTAAAGCCTTCCCTTTGTTCAAAACTCCAGTTTTACAAAATGTCAAAACACATGTGCTTACAGTACTATCTTCTTAAAATGTTTTTGAGGAAGATTTCACACTATTGATTCTGGTTATAACTGATAATTATTTATTAGGTCTGTGTTACATTTGTTAACATGCTGTTTATTATATTTTTCTATGTTATTTAGTTTGTTTATTATCTTGCACATTATATTATTGTTTATGCAACTATAGCTATCAGTTTATCTACTCACTACTTTTATGGTAACTGTATTCAGTCCAACACAACTTTAATAGCATCTCTAATAATGAGTTCAAGAGATTTGAAAGTGCTAAGATGTTTATGTATTTACCAAGGATCATGAAGGGGCTTGAGATTTTCCCCTGGGCAATAGTAGTTACTACCATTATTTATTAATGTTATTTTTACTAACAAAAAATCTTTTATTGATAAAGAAGCATTCTACATATTTCATTTGTTCAAAATAAACAAAATAATAGAAGGAAGCCATCTAAGAGACAAAAGAGGCCTGCTGTACTCCCTGATCCCGTTCAAGTGCTTAATGGCCTTTTGTGTTTACCTAATATTTTTGTGTTTTAATATTTATTTTTTCCATTATTCTGAAATTATTTTATTTCTGGATTTTATGAATTAAAATAATTTATTTTAAAAAAGAATTTTAAAATTATTTTCATACAATTAGGTCTGACATGTAACCATTCTTCATCAGTACCAAGGTTATGCTCTTCTTCATCTTCGTCAATGTCATCTTCTTCATAATTCAATTTTTGACATATCATTGATAAAAGACATGCTGATAATAATATCTGAATAAAAAGTTCAAAAATCAGTACATATATAAAAACAGATAGAGTATAGAGAAATAATAATTTTTAGACTTACTTTCAATGGTTGTGTTAATAGCAAAGATGAAAAAAATGATATAATTAATGATGTAATCCATTTACATGTTTTTGTATTGCCAAATTGTATTCCATAAGCCCATAAAAAGAAAATTGATGTGGCAATTGAAGCAATTACAAAGAACCATCCAAAGATTATGCACCACCAAGGCAATGAAAATTTCTTTTTTCTTTTTACAATTTTAACTTTTTCAACTTTAGAATTTTCATTATATGGATCAAAATTATTTTCCTTACTTATTATAATATTATTGAGTTGATTAACATCTAAAATATAAAATTTTCAATTTATTTTTATTAAAAATTTTTGAAATAATAGCAAAAATATGTAGGGGAAGTTGGGGCAAAGTGAGATAAGGAAACAAAGTAAAAACTTGTGATATATGTGTTTTGATTGGATAATCTGACTTGCTTGTGCATGAATGTTAAAGATTACAATGACAATATATTTTGCATATGGCAACCAGCTAGTGAAATGCAGGTATAACAAAGATGCAGGTAAAAGTACTCTTTTTAGCTGTTTGTTGTAAGTTTTGAGATGAGTAAGTAAGCTGTAATACCTACATTATTTTATAGATTTAATTGCAAGTATTATTTTCTGACAGCCATGTATAATAGAATGCAATTTTTATTGCATATGCTGTCTTTGTCTGAGCATATAGCATTTTAGTACACGAGTAACTCATAGGGCTGAGTGGAAAGGAACAAACTTAAAAATTTTCATCTTTACCCCGGTGGTCCTAGTTTTTTCTGCTTATTAACAAGACTATCACAAGCAAATGCTCAATTCAGAAACAAGTTTTCTGGTGCTTAAGTTGAAATTTATTTTGTGACAAATGTACAGTACCAACATTGATATTTCATTGACATTAACATTTCAATGGTTTTCTCTTTTTCTGAAGGTGTTTGAGTAGCTAATAATGGTATGTAGATACAGGAAAAAAATGGCACAACGACTGTGGTTGGAGTAATCCATCTTTAAGCAATTTGAAATGTTCAAAATGATATCATGAAACTACTAGCTATTTCACAATAATATGCTGTCTTGCTAGCCACAGTGCAAGATGACTAGTGAGACACCATATTTTCATGCTATGTATTGTCTCCAGAAGGTATTGCACCAATTCCAAAGCAGATTTGAAGAAAGAGGTATCAGGTTGAAAGAAACAGAGTCATCCTCACAAGTAATCTCCCCATTGCAGAACTGAAAACAAAAGCAGAAAAAACTCAAAGTCAAAAAAGCATGTTGCACAAAACTTACTTCTAAGCAACAAACCCAAGAAATAAAAATCATCTGCAAGAAAGCAAAAAGCACCACTTCTCACTCACTCAGAATGCAAACAATCTGTTGATTACCAAAACCTCTGAGATGATTCTAATGATATGGAAGATTTTACTGACAAATCAGATATTGTGCAACACCCTTTGCTAGGAATATTGAAATAGAATCAGTGAAATTAAGCCAGGAGACTACTTGGTCATGCACATGACAGATGATAAGATAAACATCAAGAAATTCATTATTGTTGTTCTTTCAGAGAATGAGTCTGACAGTGAATCATACACTGAAGTTCATGTTAAATTTATATGAAAATACAGAAATACAGGCAACATACTGGTGTTTCCTGAAGTCAACGATGACAGTGTGATATATGAAAATGAATTATTGACAGGTCAACACAGTATCGTTTCTGCAACATGCTAATATAATGTTCCAATAAAATGAAGACCACTTGAATTAAAGTAAATTATGCAATTCAGAGAAGAATTGCATGTAGTTTCCTCTTTTCCCCAACACAGTTTTCATTATGCGTCTCTACTTGGGGCTTAGTGAAAAAACTGAAAACATATAGAAAGTTGTCTGTTATACTCATCCCCTATGTTCATTTTGGTAACCTTTGTTTGTATAGGAACAATAAGAACTATAACATATTTCCTTTAAATGTTGCAGATTAAACATTCTGAGATACCTAGAAGGAAACACTAGCATTTCTGCTTTGCCCCAACTTCCCCTATATTTAATTTAATAACTTGTAATGTAAGTATATAGGATGATTCAAAAGTCTTCATACATAGGTAAAAGGCTCACTTTACTATGCAGCCAGCTTAAGTCACAAAATATGTTCAATGTCAGTATACTGAATGCACTTCTGCTTGCATTTTTCCATTCATGCTGAATGTACATTAATATGCTCAGTATAATGCATGCACATGTATCACAAATGCATTTATTCAAATGGTTATTAACGTTTTTATCCAAGCATGGTATTCAAATTGTACAATTTCAGTTTAACATGGTTGAAAAATATAACAGAATTTAATTTCCAGCAATAGCATTTTAGTTTAATAACATATCTTAAAATTAAATATTTTTATTGATAAAGTTAATATTGTATTTAGGCTTGTGCTAACTATTATGATGTTGCAAATGAATCATTGCAACTGTCAGTAATGGGATTCTCCATTTCAGAATGGATACTGTGTCTTAACTTCACACTGTATGCATTAAATCACTCTGTATAAGGCAATTTATAAAAAAAATGTATAAAAATAGCACAAATCTTTGATATCAGATTTTAATGAGATGAAACCATCAATGTTTTCAGTAAATTAATTAGAGAAAAACTGAAATTGAAGAAATTAATAACAGAAGATTTTCAATTAAAAAAAAGAGAAAAATTGTTTTGAGGCAGTCATTGTTGTAAGAGTCCATTAAAGGGTTTGACTCCTGATATAATGGTATGACCAAAAGTGCCTCAGAACACAATTCCTTAGCCAACTGGATTAGTGGTGTTTCCCTCCTACAGTGCTGACATGTCATGTCTACTTTCACTTTCCTCCATGAGGACTGCAAATTGTAACTATTGATTTAGTATTGTAAAATAAACTGTCTTGCTATTGCTGAAGAAGAAGACAAATTTTTATTTTTGTTTTCAATATTACTTAGGACAAATAATTCCTACACTGATATCTTCAATTTCTTTAGCAACAAGCAAAAAAGATACAGAATAAAATTTTATTTTCATTCATACAAAAATGGAGCCCATTCCTTCATTCTTAAATGTTAATCTCAATATACATAATTATGATTTATACAGAATTCATTTACCATGTAAACTGATAATTACATGTATTAATTATTACTAATATGACTTACTCTGTCTTTGAATGGCTTCTTTGACACGAGAAGGATGAAGCTTTCTTCGTCTTGAATTTCGAAAGAAAAATATCATAACAAAAGTTGGAGGAAATATAATAAAATTAGAGACTACACCAACTGCAATCTGTAGAGAAGTTAAGTAACATACTTGTATATAATTAAAAAAAATTATTATTTTTATTAATTGAAATTACCTGTTCGGGTGATAGAATAAATGGACCAAATTTAAAACTGTTACCACTTTGATGGTCAGTTGTTCTTCCATACCACATGGCATTTACTAGCATCGATAAATATAAAACTGCCATACAGCATGAAGTACGTTGTACTCGTGTAAAACGACTTCTGGGAGGTCTTAAAAATACTGATAACCATAAATGTCTATCCATTAATCCTCTTCTTGATGTAATTGAGAACAAATGATTGAATTCTGTCATCTGTTCCTTTCCTGCTACAGGTATTAATCTATCAATCTAGTTAATTAAAATTCTTGGTTTAAATATTTACTAAATTCATATTTATTACATATTAATAAATTAAATTTATGTAATTACCAAGCCATCATCTTTTTCTACAGCAAACCATTTGCCAACAATAAATTCATATCTTTGATCAGTTTGAACATCTTTAAATACAACTGATTGGAGATACCAAGAAGCTGCTGCTCCAGTTCCAGAATTATCATGCCAAATACGCAAATAATTAAGATTACCTAAACATCTGTATAAAATAATAAAATTAAATAATAAAAATATTTTTAAATAGGAAAATTAAAATAAATTAGAAAGAAGTGTCCATTTGAAAAATTAGAGAACCTTTGCTAGGAAT